GAATGGTTAAAAAAGGTGTGGAACATATACACATTAGAGTTTTACTCAGCGGTAAAAAATAATGACATCTTGAATTTTGCATGCAAATGGATGGACATAGAAAACGCTTTACTGAGTGAGGTAAGCCAGACCCAAAAAGAGGAACACGGTATGTATTCACTCATAAGTGGATTCTAACCATAATTAAAGGTCTTTGAGCCTATTATTCGTGATCCTAGAGAAGCTAAATAAGAAGATGAACCTGATGAAGATTATTTAGCTATCCACCAGGAGGTAGGAAATAGACAAGAGTCCCAGGTAACCTCGGGTGCATGGGGGGGTGGGAGGGTTGATGGAAGGGGAGAGGGTTAGAGAGAAGGGAGTAGGGGAGGAACGGGGAAAGCTCGGTGGCCTGGGATGGGGGGGGGGGAGGGAGGAAGGATGAATATGGGATCAGGGAAGAATATATTTCAACTAAGGGAGTCATTTTAGGGTTTACAGTAGACTTGATTATATATGGGATCCCAGGTCCAAGGAGAGATCCCCCAGATTGTTCTCTGGACAGAGGAGAGGGTGCCTGAATCGGCCGTGGCCCATAACCATACTGATGTATATTTTGCTTATCACCATAGATCCTTCATCTGGCGAAGGACGGTGATACAGTCGGAGACCCACATTGGAGCACCGGACTGAGCCCCCCGAGGTCCAAATGAGGAGCAGAAGGAGGAAGAACATGAAAAACGAAATCAGTACTGCGAGGGATGCTATCACCCACTGATACAAGGGAACGGATCTAATGAGAGTTTACCAAGGCCAGTTGGACTGGGACTGAACGAGGAGGTGATCTAACCAGATTCTCAGAATTTGGCCGGATTCTCTGACTGTGGCTGGCCCGAAGTCTTTCTGAAAAGCCATTGACTATGATACTGGGACCTGTTTCCTCTGCATATACTGGATTTTGGGGATCCAGTCTGTTTGGACACTCACCTTCCTGGACCTGGAGGGAGGGGGAAGGAACTGGAACTTCCCACAGGGCAGGAAACCCTGACTGCCCTAAGGGACGAAGAGGGAGGAGGAGAGGGAGTGGGGGGAGTGGGAGGGTGTTGGGAAGAGGGGCGGAAATGGAAACTTTTATAATTTAATAAAATTTACTTAAAAAAAAAAGAGCTGGGGATGTACCTCATGGTAGAACCCCGCCTCCTGCTCCACTTACTGACTCCGGATTTAGCATAAATCCCATCAGTCTCTGCTCTCGACTACAGACTTCGGATTCTTGCCATAACTTTTTGAGAAGTGGTATATGAAAAGAGGCAGTCTACTTAGATAGATGATAGATAGATAGATAGATAGATAGATAGATAGATAGATAGATAAGCCTGAAAGTCCTATTGCTTTAAGAAGTAAATGAAGCAAAGGCCCCGCCCCCATCCTTAATCGGAATCTGCTTTAACAGCTAATATTGGAGGCCATGAGGTTTAAAGGTCTCCAGTTTTCATCTAGATTTTGCCTTCTGTAACGAAAGACATTCCTTAAATTGGGGAAACCAATCTGTTGCTTTTGTTTGCCAGAAGCAGCAAAGGAAAGCAAGAAGTCTGCTCTTAAATAATTATTATCATGCCATATCTAAACATAAGCACACAGGATCTAGACCGGCCTGGCAGATAAATGGTTAAATGATTTGGTAAGTTAAAAAAAAATCACTTGAAAATTAGAGGAGTCCACATGAATGTCACAACAGTGTTCTTGTAGCTTAGGGGAAACAAGGCAAGAGTCTCCTGCGGGTCTTCTGGTCTTAACGAAGAAGCCATTAGGACCTACAAATGACCCTAGGGTGCTGTAAAACAGAGACCCAATTTAATAATGCTTATTTGATAATTTCTGGGTTTCCAATGCCTTTAAAAGCCAGGGTATATACTTTTCTTTGGGAAATCAAAATGCAAAGAGACCACATCAACTTCCCCAGTCTGAACTAGTTCCCGAGTCTGAATTCTATAGTTAGTATTTTCTGAGTGGGACAGGGAAGGTTGGGAGGGTGGAAGAGTGATGGGGCACCCTGGGAAAGGAAGCCTTCACTTCAGCTCACTTCAAAGGGGGTGTTGGGAAACAGGTGTGCTGCCCTGTAGGGAAGGTGAGGAACAGAGGCTGTGTTGGAACGCACATGTGGCCAGGCAGGCAAGTAAGGGTTCAGAAGATCAAAAGGAAACCTGAAAATCACAGGTCACCCCAATCTGTCCCTCTCCACTAGGATTACAGCGCCAGGCAGCTGAACGCCAGCCCCTGACCCTTTCCAATCTGTTCAAGGTCAGGAGCCGGGACTCCAGCACGTCTGTAATGGATCCAATGCAGTCAGTTTCGCTGCTGCTAAGTACAGCATACACGGCAGCTGGAGAACTTAGCTCCAAGGGCTTCAAATTACGTAGGTAACCTGCATTCTGCCGGCTTCTGTGCTTGTCTGGAGCATCTTCCTAAGCAAAGGGTCTTTTAGTCCACTCACCAACAGGACTGAAAGTTTCTCCCAACTAGTTTTGTGAATGTCCAGATGAATGAGAACAGCCTTGTGCCTTTCTGCCCTAAACATAGTCTCTCTGTGTGTCACTTTCTCTCTCTCTCTCTCTCTCTCTCACACACACACACACACACACACACACACACACACACACACACACAC